ATCACTCCAGAGCCCAAATGCCCCCCATCCCCTCACCGTTGGTCATGGCAGCCCCAGGATCACTCCAGAGCCCCCATTCCTCCCATCCCCTCACCGTTGGTCATGGCTGCCCCTCCCCCCCGCTCCCCCCCCCGCCGCCAACGCGACACTGGAAGCGCCCGCAGGCTCGACCAGCCGAGCGCCGAGCGCCCGAGGGGGAGCGGGAGGGGACAGACGGCCTCAATCGAGCGCCTATGGAGGGGGTGACACTAGTATCGCCCAGTGCTCGCCCAGCAGCACCAGTAAAGCCGCGCCCCGCGGAGCCCCGGCGCGCTCGGGTGCTGCCAGTGTGCTCGGACGTGTGTGCACAGGCCTTATCTCAGGCTTCCAGTAGCCCCCCAGTGCACTCAGTAACCTCCAGTCCTCCCAGTAACCCCCAGTGCACCCAGTAACCTCTAGCCCTCCCAGTAACTCCCAGTGCACCCAGTCCCCATCCCAGCCCCCAGTTACCCCTCAGTATTCCCAGTAAGGCCCCAGTGCAACCAGTCCCCAGTGACCTCCAGGTTCCCAGTAACTCCCAGTCTAACCATAAGCTCCCCCCCCCCAGTATCCCAGCCTCTCCAGTAATCCCCAGTCTCCCAGTACCTCTATGTGCCTCTCAGTCCCATCCTAGCATCCCCCATAGGTCTCCCCAATGACCCCAGTGCACCTAGTCCCCAACTCAGTTGCCCCAGTAACCCCCAGCTCCCTCAATAACCTCCCTAACCCAGTAGGACCAGTGTACCCAGCAGACCTCAGTGTTCCCAGTGTTCCCAGTGCATCCAGCACCAGTGTTCCCAGTGTTCCCAGTGCCCCCAGTGGGTCAGTGACCCCTGTAATCCCAGTTCCCCCAGCAGTCCCTAATGTTCCCAGTGTTCCAGTGCCCAGTGTTCTCAGCAGACTCCAGTGTGTCCCCAGTGGTTCTAGTGCCCCCAGTGTCCCCAGCAGGCCCCAGTGTCCTCAGTGCCCCCAGTGACAGCTGAGGAAGCGCCACCAGAGGCTGGAGGAGGTCTGTGATGTCCCTCTGTCCCTCTGTCCCTGTCTGTCTGTCCCTGTGTGTCTGTGCCAGGCTCCATCCCTGCAGCCAGCCCAGACCTCCCGCCTTTACCTGACCAGCCATCCGTGTATCTGTGAGTCCTCCATCTATCCATGCATCCACCCACTCACCCATCCATCCATCCATCCGTATATCCATGAGTCCTCCACCTATCCATGCATCCACCCACCCACTCATCCATTCATCTGTGTATCCATGAATCCTCCATGCATGCATGCATCCATCCATCCATCCATGTATCCATGAATTCTCCATCCATCCATCCATCCACGTATCTATCCATCCATCCATTCATCCATTCCTCCATCCATCCCTCTATCCATCCTTCCATCCATCCCTCCTTCCATCCATCCCTCCATCCATCTGTCCGTGTATTCATGAATCCTCCATCCATCCTTCCACATACCCATCCATCCCTCCATCCATCCATCCATCCATCCATCCACCCATGTATCTGCCCATCCCCCATCCTATCCCATCCCATCCCATTTATCCTGTTTATCCCATCCCATCCCATCCCATTATCAGATTTATCCCATCTCATCCCATGCCATGCCAACCCATTTATCCCACCCCATCCCATCCCATTTATCCCATTTATCCCATTTATCCCATTCCATTTGTCCCATTTATCCCATCCCATGCCATGCCATCCCATTCCATTTATCAGATTTACCCCATCTCATCTTGTTTATCCTACTTATCATATTTATCCCATTTATCCCATGCCATGCTATCCCATTCCATTTATCCCATTTATCCCACCCCATCCCATCCCATTTATCCCATCCCATTCCGGGGCCGGTTTTTCTCTCCCCGCTCCTCCCCCGGGTCAAGCCCAGACCCGCCCGGGCCCGGGCGCGGCAGCAGCAGCGGTGGCGGGGCCCAGGTAAGGGATCCCCCCTCCCCAAGATCCTTGCGACCCCCCTGGGACCCCCTCGAGATCCCCGGGGCCCCCCTGAGCCCCCCTGGGATCCCCCTGAGCCCCCCCATCCCGGCGGTGCAATGAGCAGCGACTCGGGGAAACTGAGGCACGATGGCACTGGACAGCGGGGGGAGACCCCCCCCCGCCCTCTCCCACCGCTTCACACCTCCCAAGAGTTTGGGGGGCTCTCGAGGTGCCGGGGACCCCCCTTTTCCCGGGTCCCACCCCCCGGGAGCCACCGGAGCTAGGAGGGAAAAGAAAGGAAAACTGGGAGAGGCGCCCAGCGAAACCGCCCCCCCGCCCCCCCCCGCCGCGCCCTGAGCACCTTTGACCCCCTCGAGGGTGTCCCC